TTATGTATTTACAAATTGCTTCCAGCAATTTCAAGCCTTCTTCCATGAGAGTTCAATCTTTTGTTATAGTTTTTCCCTCACCACCAGTTCAGATGGAAGCCAATATGTTCATTGTATCCTTCTGTTGAAGTCACTAGCATAGAATGTTTGGGGAAAAAAAGTACTAGTAGTACTAGGAGGAACAGCAGCAAGTAGTAGTAGTAGTAGTAGTAGTAGTAGTAGTAGGAGGAGGAGGAGGAGGAGGAGGAAGAGCAGCAGCAGCAGCAGCATTTATAAAGGTAAAGATTTCCCCTCTCCAATCATGTCTGACTCTAGGGCTTGGCTAGTCTAGTAAAGAGAAGGACCAGGGGAGACATGATAGCGGTCTTCCAATATTTGAGGGGCTGCCACAGGGAGGAAGGGGTCAAGCTATTTTCTAAAGCGCCTGTAGGCCAGACAAGGAATAACGGATGGAAACTGAACAAGGAGAGATTTAACCTGGAAATAAGGAGAAACTTTCTGACAGTGAGAACAATCAACCAATGGAACAGCTTGCCCTCGGAAGTTGTGGGAGCACCATCACTTGAGACTTTCAAGAAGAGATTGGACTGCCATTTGTCAGAAATGGTGTAGGGTCTCCTGCTTGGGTGGGGGGGTTGCACTAGATGACCTACAAGGTCCCTTCCAACTCTGATTATCTGTTATCTGTTAAGGCAGGGCTGTCAAACTCCTGGCCCACAAGCCGGATGTATCACACACTGATCATGCCGACACCCAGTTTAGTGTAGGGGGGAAAGTCCCGATATGTCATGTTGTCTTGACACCGTGACGAGTTTGACACCCCTGCTCTAGGGGGCACAGTGCTCATCTCCATTTCTTAGCTGAGGGAGTTAGCATTATCCGAGGACATTTTTGTGGTGATGTGGCCAGCATGACTATATCCTAAGGAGCATGGAAAGCTGTTCCCGTCAGTGGTACCTATTTATCTACTTGCATTTGCTTGCTTTTTAACTGCTAGGTGGAGCTGGGGCAAGTAACAGGAGCTCACCTGGGTTCAAGACCCGACCCACCCCGCACGGGTCTTGAATTCAGGCTTTCAGCTTTCCAGCTGTCAAATAGTGTCGATAATCATTGAGCCATAGCACTCTTAGCAAGACTGTATAATCAATTAAAATATATTGATGTAGTTTATAATGCTGAATGATTACAGTACAAACAGGAACACAAATTCATAGACTAGGATAATGTATAGAGGATGATATGTAATGACAGCATGCAAGTACTATATATGATGCATGAGGCAACCTTTGCTTTTCTGTTTTACTATATGTATTTTTCAGTATACAGAACTGCTTGCAAAAATTATTTTCTTGTGCTGGAGAAATGTAGCACTAATATTTAGTAACTCTTATGATTATAGAAACAGAAATTTAAACATGCAAGGGGTGGTATATTACATTCTGGTTAAGGGTAAACCTTAGAAGAACACAACCTGTTCTCTAAAAACTGCAAATAAAAATGCTTAATTTTCACATCTTCATCACATCAACATCAGCATTCTAATAAACAGGCAGATTCAATAGAAAATAAATTTAGGTGGGTTTATTTTACCATATATTTTATCTATGTGTTCTATATATTAAGATATTGTTCAACATAAAATTCTGAACACTGAGTACAATCATTGTGCAAGAGTATATTTAGAAATCAAACACAACACAAATATTCATAAAACCAGAAATATTTCAATATTACTGAATATAAAACTATGCATATTATGTTTGGTTTTGTTTGGGATATAGAATACATTTCTTTCAAAGAAGCAAACAGCTTGGTTAAAATAAATACAGCAAATGTATTAACAGTACCCATACATGGAATCTAAAAATATAAGTATTTTCTTATAGTGCAGAAGAAAACTTAAGGCATTTGTTACCTAGCAATTGCTAAGTATGTAAAACAGTTTAGCATGGACAGATTTGGGCTACCCGATTTCCGCTGTAAAATCAACATCCCTAGACAACAGCTGAACAATATAGAAAAATGTTCTATGCTGCCATCTGGTAATTTCCAGATATATGCAATCTAGATGCAATAACAAAACGATGGAGAACTTAAATAAATTGTTCTTCTGGGTCTTGCTAGAGATCCCTGTACTTAGGTCCAGAGGCAGAAATGCCACAGCTGCCATCCTCCTAATTTATACTATCAGGAACTTGAGTTCTTTCTGGCCTCTTATGCAAGTTACCATTTTCCATTATTTGGGTGAGATCAAACAGGTGGTTGCCATAACCTACCCATCCCGAACACACACCCATGCTAGTCAAATCAAGATATTAAGAAATCTATTTTATATTCCAAGCATCATTAATAGTTCAAGGGACTATAATTTAATGGCACCTACACTGCCCTAACACTGTTTGATGGATTCTTCCCTTAGCAAAGCATTATGATCCAATGATGGCTTTGAAAGCTCCTACACTGCCAGTCTTGAATATCTAGCCTACAGAGATTTACCTGCCCACATTCCCTAATATGGCCTCTAAGTATGCTAACTGTGAACAATGGGAGTTGTAGTCCAACATGTTTGGAAATAACTCTTTTCAGTAAATCAGTGTTCTGGATGGAACTTCACTATTTACTGTAGTGCACGAATGGGATTTCTGTGTCAATGCACAGTGACTTGATTCTTGAGAAGGGGATGGTATTAGGGAGGAGAATTATCTTGATCATGATTTAAAGATTATCTTGATCTTGGTCACTTCCGGTTTGTCGGCTTCGCGAGCGGCAGGGATTTGCGAAGCTGCGCGATCCCTGCCGCGCTAGCCGTTTTTGGGGCTCCGACCCAGACGGGTACGGAGCTAGGCTGCCCTGCAGGGGCAGCTGAAGGTAGGGGGGATCCGGAGAAGGGTTTGGGGGTGTTGCAGACTCCCTCCCTGGCCGGCAGAACTCCCTTTTCCCAGGACGGTGCAGCGGCGGTCTGTAATGGCCGCCACAAAGAAGCTGGCAGCCGGGTAAGAATGCGCAGGAGGAAGTGGAGAAAGTGATTGAGAGGAGAAAGTTTTTCTTGGTTCCTAGGACTCTAAGACATATTTAATAAAATTCCTGAAAAGTATGACTTTCTGAATAATACCTGCCAGAAGAGGAAAAAAGCGGCTGTTTGAAGGTGCTGAAAGGATAGCTTTCCCTCTTTTCCTACGGAATAAATAACTGGATATTAAGAAACCTATTTCTTTTAGGTGAAAATTGGTTTTAAGCGATGAGTGGGAAGAGAGAGGATTAAAAAGAAAACATTTGTATGCTAAGACTTTGTTGGAGCAGATGCCTTAAGGATTTGAAGACTAGAATATATTGCAATAAGATTTTAAACAGACTTGGACTTTCTTTCTCTTGGATTGATATTACCCCAGAAGGAGAAAGTGAGAACTCTGCCTTGGTTGGACTGACTGATAACTTTGGGACTGTTTTATTTTTTTTATTTTCTTTTGAATATTCTGGTTGTTGTAAGAAGAAAGAAGGGGAAAAGAAAAGAAAAGATTTATAATGGCTCTTTCTGTTGAGGAACTAAGAAAAGAATATGAACAAGCAAAAAAAAATGGTAAAGATGGTGTGGAAGAAGCTTTCCTTTTCTTAGAAATGGCGCTTATTAATTATCAACAAACATTACAACAGATGAAGACAGCAGAGGAACAAGAAAGAAAGAAAGGAGCCATTTTTAATGAATCTCAGAATTTGATCCAGAAAGAAGGAAGAGAGAAAGAAAAGAAAAGAAGAGAAAAGAAGAAAACTAAAGGACTTAAGGACTTAAGATCTAAAAAAACATTTAAGAAAGGGAAAAATAAGGTGCAAAACCAATATGATGATAGTAAACAAAAGGGAAAAGGAATACGACAGAGAAGGGAAGCTGGTAAGGCAGAGGCTAGAAGAAGGGGGGGTAGAAAGGTTTGTTGGGAGAAGAAAGAAAGGGAAAAGGTGGAGAAAAGCTACAATGTTTTGAAATTAAATGAAAAAAAGAAATTTTTTATGGATAATGGATAAAGTATAATTTTTTTTAAAAAAAAAAGATTTTGCAAGGTACATAAGATGAGATGGTAGTATTGTAATGATTTAAGAGTTGATAAGAGATTAAAATGTTAAAATGTTTAAAAATGATTGGCTTTAAAACTTAATAATAGGGGAGGTTTAGAATATTGTTTTAATTAAAGAGTTTAATAAGACTATGGTATTGATGTTATTATAAAATTTTTATTATAGTATCTTTTTTAATATTTGGATTTATTGTCTAATTATGTACTTAATTATGTTGGATGTATTAGTTAGATAGAATGTACCAAGCAAAATCGGATTGGGTATTAGATATTATTTTAAAGATTAATTTGATTAACTTAGGGGGGAGATAGAAAGGCATCATACTCTGATTAATGATTTCAGGAGAAACTTATTTTCTTTTTTTTTATAAGGAATGAGACAAAGGGATGATAAAAAATGGACAAAAGATATAAATATAATGATTCAAATTAAGATGATTAATTAAGATAGAAGTAAGAAGTGTGAAATATGTGGGGAAGTTAATATAGAACTTAGAATGGTAAATAAAATAAGTAATGATATGTAAGATGAGCATGAATATAATTGAAGTCCATGAAGAGAGAGACACCTGGGTCCAAGTTACTTTCCAAAAAGATTTTTTTTATGTTTTGTGTGTTGTGTGTATATGTCTTTTTGGGGGGGAGAATTAGTTAAAAATTGTAGAAATATAGAATGAGAATAATGGTAACTAAGTCAGAAAGAAACAGATGAAATAATAATAATGATATTGAATAAGAGTAAAGAGAAGTAAAGAGAAATTGAATAAGAGGTTTTGGTATGTTGTATGGAAATGGTTCAAAATAGAATTATAATTTATCTGACTTGTTAAATTGACAATGAAAAAAGGTTTAAACATGTAATGAATAATGATAATTTGTGTGTTTTAAAAATTAATAAAACTTGTTTTTTTTTTTTTAAAAAAAAAGATTATCTTGATCTTGGTTTTGCCAGTATGTAGTGGGATTGGAGCAAGCTATCCACTACGTCTAATGCTAACAGCAGATATATGAAACCGGTAACCTTTTCATACTAATGCAATTGTTTTACATACGCATCCACATATTTTTTATCAATATCAGATATTTTTACAGATATGTTTTTGGTTTACATTGGAATTAATGTCATCATTATTCCCAACATTTATTTTTAGAAACAATTCCCCAAAGTATTTTGTGTAGACAGTGATATATGCATGTGTGCACATGCATGTGTGCACACACAATTAGTGATACATACTTGGAGTAAATTCAGTAAACCTCTTTTTCAAATATGCATGCCAGAAAGCCACATGAAGATAATGCTGTTTTAAATGCTACTGCTTCTTCTCTTCAATGGGAAAAAAATACAGAATTCTGAAGTATTTTTGCATATAAAAGCATGAAAGTTGTGGTGGGAACAAGGGACTGGGATATTATTTTATTCAATGTTTTAACAAATATTATGTTGGTTTTATTCCTAGCAAAAAAAGTAAAGAATCTTACAGACATTATTAGCATTTTTCATTTTCTTTGAATTTTCCTGAGAAGTCAAACATGTGCTAAGGGAGAAGGCAAAATTTCAAGTTTCTCCCTCATGGTTTCTATGACTAGATGTTGTACTAAAGTTTTAACTCTACTCCAAATATTACTGGACATAGAATTTAAAATCACATTAACATAAGCTGATGCAACAAAAAGCATGTGTTTCATACCTGTCCAATTAGTGACCATCAGACCTCATTATTCCCACTAAACTTGTATTAAGAAACCCTGATTAAAAAAAATCAGTTATCTAGCTAGAATAGAACAGTAAGAGTAGAGAAATGGATAAAACCTTTAAGAGACAGCTGGGCATGTATTTTATGTTTTACTTAGATCATCGCAAGAGGGACAGACCTGGGCTGGCTGTAATCATGAAATCGCATAGCTTTATAGTCATGTATGTGACTGAAATAAATGATGAATTGGTACAATTGGGCAATGTGTTAGATGCAGATTTTTGAGAACTGCAGTGTAATGACAGGGGGACGCTTTCTTAGGGAAGCCTTGTTTATGATCTTCAACATGTTAAACAATTAGACCTTCAGCTATATAATTTCTTGAAGTTATAAATTAATATTCTTCCCTTTCATGATAGCATGCTATTTATTGCTTTATTGATCTATTTCATTTCAGGTCATTCTAAAGTCTAACAAAAACTTCACCAATTCAAAACATTTTTCTTAGTTCCAGACAATTATTATTGTCTTTTAAATTAATAAAGGATTTTCAAAGCAGATACCTTCACCGTAATAGATAATTCATATCAAATCCTGCCCAGCAGTGGCCATGAGTCTTAACCACAATCATAATTTAACCTTATCATTAGGCTCTTGATTATATAAACAAACATACACAATGGCCTCCATTCAGCATATGGAGAAATCATCCTATGTAAACAATTTGAAGGATCTTCCAAATGACAGTCATTTATTTTAAGTGTCCCTCATATTTCAAATATCCTGGGATTATTTTCCCACACATAACTACTTCTGTAATGTCTATAGTCATCCAAGCATCAGAGTGCCAAAGTAAATAGTAATGAGGTCAGCTTTATATTATTTCAGCAGTGGCTGGATGTTGCTAGGAAGAAACTACATTGCACAGCTTGGGAAGTGGCCTTGGTTCATCCAATTGTATATGTTGTAGAAAATACTGTTCTTCAAAGCAAATGTCTTTTAAACCCCAATCTCTTAGGTTTTTGGGAGTCATCTATGCCAATGCAATTAATATACATACCTATCCAGCCCAAAGTTAAGTACTCTACTAGTTTTTATGTGTTTAGCAATGTAATACTGACAAGAAAACTAATTTATAACTGGAGCTTAGTAGCCACAGATTTGGAGAATGATTAACACTACAGCTACAAGCTTGAACCTTAAGGCAGTGGAACAAGCTGACTTGGGAGTCATTAAATGCTCCTTTCCAAGCCACAGGTGTCCAACTCAATTGCATCACATGACGTATTGCGATGTATTGTGACTTTTTTGCTTTTGCGGAACCAGGGTGGGCGTGGTCTGCATGTGACACATTTGGCTCACAGGCTGCCAGTTTGGCACCCCTAGTTTAAACCATCTGTCAGGGAGATAGTAGAGACCAGGTGGATCCTCAACATCCCTCCTAACCTGATGACTGATTCTAACTCCTCGACATTGTGCAAATTCTCTCAGTTCTTAAAATCAAAATTAGGGATTGGGGTTATAATACAGTACAAGATTAGATAACACACAATTTGACCAGATTTCTTCTCCTTTGTTTCCCCAGTGTGGGACAATATGCCAAAAACAAAAAAAACAAAACAAAAAAACAACAACCCAGTTGAAAAAGCCACATTTTCACATTCAAAAACTGCCTTAAAGCTAATGTCAAATAAATACACATTTTTGACAAGCAAAACTATACATTATTTTAAAAAAAAAATTTTACATTTTTGGGAAAGGAGTAGAAAGAAAACCAACAATAAATTTACTAATGAATAATAAATTCAATAATTATGCTTTCATCATATTCATATCCATAAATTATTACAACATTCAACATTTAAAATTTTGCTTGTAGGAATTAAACTATTATCTTCCTAAGAAAACCAGCAACTTAGACTTGTTAGACAAAAGTTAAAGCTATATAAAAATGTTTCCCCTTTATTCAATAATTGCATAGTATATAAATGAACTGCAATTACTCTAAATTGTAACAATTTACTTATCTTTAAAACTGTCTCATATTTTAAAATTTAAAAATATAAGTATCCTTTACTTGTAAATTATGTAACAAAGGTGTTAATATAACCTTGACACACAAGCAAATTTAAAGCAATAGACAATAAAAAAATTGGGAGAAAGCATATCAATGCTTAAATGTTCACTTGTTTTTGTTCCTCCTACAAGGCAAATCTTTTAGCTGGTAGCTGTGCGGGCATGCATGCGTTTTGCTACATCATAAACATAGGTTATATCTGGTCGTTTCTCTGGATCTGGGTTGATGCAGATGTTAACTAATTGTCGGAGCTAGAAAAAAAGAAAAAGAAAAAACAGCATATAAACAACAAAGAATTTTTTAAAAAAGGAAAATACTCCCACAGGCAAAATTATCAAAATCCTTTTCTACTACAAGTTCAATGCAAGTTATAATTGATGGAAAAGCAAAAAGCAAGGCAGTAACTTTTAAAGATATGCTTTCTTATAAAAACAGTATTATTTGAATCACTGCATTTTCTTTTATATAATTCTTTACATAGTCACAGTAGTATCAACACTAGTTTTGCATGACTCCAGGCTTTGTACAAGGGCCACATATAGCAGGATGCTTAATTATGTTTCCATGATGGATTTTTCACTAATCTTAAAATTGCTCAAAACTATAATGGAAACATGAGTTCGCTTTTCAGTGACACTGCAGAGAGCTGAGGAATGCCTACGTGGAATGGAAATATTTTCATGGTTTCTGAGACTTGCTAAGCAAAAAGGAAAGACACCTATGATTTAGATGAACATCATAAAATGAGTACTTTAGGCTACCAATCTATTTACCTAAAACCACTGAAATCAACACAAACACTCTTAGCTCTTTGGTCTAATATGTGATAATAGTATCTAATCTTGAGATTTATTTTAGATATGCACAATTAGTACAAAATATTTCCACAAAATAGACCCTTTTCCCACCTTTTCTGTTTTTAGTATAATAAAACAGCAAGGGAAATATGCAACTCGTGATTAGAAAACATATTCAGTAAATTTAAAAAAAACTTTAAAAGAGAGCACTGTTAAAACAAATTATATAGAATTAGGAGCATTTGTTCTAATTGTTCATCTGCTAGGAGTTCCAGGCTACCGCAATCCTAGACCATAGGAGGGTTACAATATAATGACGAAAATAAAATGTTTATATTTCAATCTAATAATAAAACAACCTCCTTCAGCAACATCAATAAATCACCAAATAACCCAGGAACATTTAATAATATTCTTGAATATTATTAAATATTATATTCTATAACTGTCTGGTTTGGGTCTGCAACCCAACAAGACAGACACAGACTTCAGAGGATAATTAGGACTGCAGAAAAAAACAATTACTACCAACCTGCCTTCCATCGAGGACCTGTATACTGCACGAGTCAAAAAGAGGGCTGTGAAAATATTTACAGACCCCTCACATCCCGGACATAAAACTGTTTCAACTCCTACCCTCAAAATGACGCCATAGAGCACTGCACACCAGAACTATACACAAGGACAGTTTTTTCCCGAACGCCATCACTCTGCTAAACAAATAATTCCCTCAACACTGTCCAACTATTTACAAAGTCAGCGCTACTATTACTATTAATCTTTTCATCACTCCTTATCACCCATTTCCTCCCACTTGTGACTGTATGGGTATAACTTTGTCGCTTGTATCCTTACGATTTATATTGACTGTTTCCTAGTATGACTTGATTGCTTATTGTACCTTATGACTATTATTAAGTGTTGTACCTTATGATTCTTGACTCTTGACGACTTTTCTTTTATGTACACTGAGAGAATCTGCACCAAGACAAATTCCTTGTGTGTCCAATCACACTTGGCCAATAAAGAATTCAGTTCAGTTCAGTATCTTCCAGAGAGTAAACACAAAGGCAGCAACATACCAGCCCAGCCAGTCCACACTTGGAACAGACCGGATTTACCTAAGACACAAGACTTGTACAATAACCGGCATCATCATTTCATATGCTGCTCAATTCCTTTGACTTGTACCTGGAAACAAATTGCATCCAATGTATTTCCAGCATCAAGATATTATCCAGACTTAAAGGCTCTTGCCCATTAACTCACAGACAGCTGCACTGTGCAGCTGCAGCTTTTGAGTGGCTTCCAAGTACAATCCTATGTAGATTGAATTACAGTAGTCCCAAGCATGAAAAGTGACAAGGGCGTGAACAACTGTTGCCAGTGCATCAAGAACAAACATGCATAGCGCAACACCATTCCTATTAAATGGGTCCATAAGAGTTCTTAGCAGTAACTCTTCAACTACTGCAAAGATAGGATAGATTCTGAAAGTCTAACATACCTAACACAAATATCTGCTTTTCAATTACTTCTCAAATCAAGCAAGCAAAGGGGAGAAGTTCATAGAAAGGAAACAGAAATGTTTCCTTTCTATGAATTTCCCTTCCTCTCCCCGAAAATGTATGTTGTAGGCCATTTCCCAAAAGGATCCCCTATATCAGGGGTGTCAAGTGCTCATTGTCACGTGACGTATCATGACATTTTCCCCTTCTCTAAACCAGGCGTGGCAGCGCATGACACATGCGGCCTGTGGGCCACAAGTTTGACAGCCTTGCCCTATATCAAGACCACTCACGTTTGTCGTCCCCCCCCCCCACATACACACACCTCTACAACTTGATCTGTCCCCAACTTGTTGGATATTTAATTAATTCTAGTTCTAACCTTTGCCCTATAAACATGGATAGAAACCAAAAATGGTGGGCAGTTAGAATTCATGCTTTGACTTCTGCATGCCCAGAAAAAGGACAGAGATAATCTAGGTGTGGTAATATATTTTATTGATCATTTTATCATTTTCTGTAAGGCCTTTGAATAACTAGCAGTAAGTCTAGGAAGATGTGGGCATTCTTGGTGGGGGTAGGAGTATCTTTGCTCAGAGTGCCTCATTCTGTTTTGATTCTGCCAGTTTAGAAGGAATAGGAAAATGGGTGAAAGTTCAAGGTACAAGATACACAGTTGTGCTTTCTCATGGGACTTTCCAAACTTTCCCATGAGACTTTCCGTGGCTGTATGATCTCACCCTAGCAAGGTAACATCTGGGACTTTCCAAGATTGTGTGTTCTCATGCTGGTGAAGTAATCTCCTGTTGAGGTCATTGTTTTCTGAATATGCATACTGTATATTTTGCTTGTGTTTTTTCTCAATAAATACTGCTACCTGAGTTCTCTCAGGGTTGGCATTTT